GTGTATGAGAGTGTGTGTATGTGCACGACAGTCTGTGTGCATGTGTAAGTGTGCATGGCTGAGCGTGGGAGTGTGTGATGGAGCGTGTGTAAGTGTGCATGACTGTGTGGGAGCATGTGAGAGAGTAGGCATGCATGTGCATACGTGTGCATGACAGTCTGTGTGCATGTGTAAGTATGCATGGCAGAGTCTGGGAGTGGGTGTGATGGAGAGTGTGTAAGTGTGCATGACAGAGTAAGTGTGCGACAGCGTGTGTGTGTGTAACTGTGTACGACAGAGTGTGGGAGTGTATGCATGTGTGTGTGCAAGTGCATGACAGGGTAAGTGTGTGCGGACAGTGTGTGTGCATGTGTGCGTGTGCGGACAGTGTGTGGGAGAGGGTGTGGGAGAATGTGGGAGGTAGTATTTGTGCAGAGGGAGTCCTCACACCCTGGCGGGAATCCTGCGACAGCCTCGGGGAGGAGTGACTGATCCCCACAGGCAAACCTCGGGCAGACACGGGACCCCGAGATGCCACTAAGGACCGCGGACGCCTGAGCCTCACCCAGCTTGTACCTGCTGTCCCGAGTGGCCCCATCATTCCAAGAGCCGAAAGGTGGAGGCCGCCACAAGCACCCCTGTTGAGTGAACTGGCTGCCGAGACCCCGTGAGCCCCAGCACGGCACTCAGGGCCAGGCGCCAGACGCCCCGGCCACAGTCTGCTCCCGTGGGATGCCCCGGTGGGTGAGCCCAGCGCAGAGGCAGACAGTCAGTTAGGGGCAGAGGATGGAGGAGTGTGGGGAGGTACCACTCAGGAGCAGGTTTTCTTAGGGGGGGGGAGTGATGAGAATGTTCTGGAACAGGGCAGAGCTGAGCATCACCATGAGTGTATAGAAACCATGGGCGTGTGCGGGTAAGAAGGGCGATTTAGGGGCCGTGGACGCCAACACCACAGAAACCATCACTGCACTGGGTGATGGGCGTGGGGTGTGCACAGGGGGCCAGTGACCCGGAAGGAAGACGGCTTGGGTGGGCAGGGCTGGGGTTGGGGCGACATAGCACCCCCGAAGCCTGGGATCGCACCCAGGAGATGAGCCCGCCTGGCAGGAAAGGAGCCAGCCGGCCCCTCCCCCCCCCCCACCTCATCTGAGTCACTTCTCACAGAAGATTCCAGCAAGCTGTGAGGAAGGCGGGCCAGGCGCCCCGCGGCCTGGGGCTCACCCAGAGAGACAGCGGGGGGACAGGGCCCCCACAAGGGCCTGCTTGGGGGGGGTCCCAGCTGCATTCCAGGTGCCCATGGTCCACCATCCCACCCCCCTCCTTTCTGTCAACAGCAGCTATGATAAACACAAACTCTGCCACATTGGCACCGAATGTCACACAGGCAAAGGGACACGAGACAAGGGCTCCGCTGTCGGGGTCCAGCAGTCCAGGGCATCCAGCAGTCCATTCTGCATCCCTGTGGCTCCATCCCAGGGTGGGGGACGCCTCACTAGGCTGCCTCTGTGCCCCCGGGGGTGACCCAATCTCTCCGGGCCTCAGTTTCCTCCGCCGTAAAGTGAGGGTGATGACAAGACTTCCTCTGAAGGCCGCTGGGGACGTGAGTGAGTGACGGGGGGGGGGGGGGGGGGGCGTTCATGCTGTTGCTTTTTTAGAGCGGCCTGGCCTCTGTCCCCCGCGCGGTGCCTTCCCTGTGGGCGAAGGTCCCCGTTAGCACTTCCTCTGCCTCTTCATCTGCAAGCGGTCCCGGGGAGGTGGTGGTCCCAGAGTGAGAGACAAGACCGAGCTCCTGTCGCCGTGGGCGGGCCCAGGCCTGAGGGAAGTCAGCTGCCCTGGTGGGGACGCCCCCAGCTGTCCACGGGCTTGGCCGCCGTGACGAGGATGCGGGCTGTGTCCTCAGCAGTGAGCTCCAGGCGTTTGTTCTAGTCAAGCTACATCTGGGGCAGGGGTGAGACCCCGTCCCCAGAGGCCCGCGTCTCTGTCTGTCTGAAGCCTAAGAAGCACCGGGGGTGTGGCGCTGGCGGTCACCGTCTCTCCCACCCACAGAAGCTCCTGCCCGGGGGTCCCTGCCTTCTCAGGACCCTGGTCACAGCCGCTTCCCTGCCCACATGGGTGTGGTCCTGGAGGCCCACTCTCTGCACCGTCCAGCTGCTGACCCGGGAGTTGGCCTCAGCACTGACCTCTCTGCCAGCTCCACCCCCATCATTTTCATAGTCAAAGCTGTCGTCCCTCTGGGACAGGCCACTCCAGGAAGCTCGGGGACCCCTCAGCGACAGGCACCCTCCACCTCCCCCTCCCCCCTCCCCTGCCACCTGTCACCCTGGCAGAGGGAACAATTGCCAGCTCTGGGCTGGGCCCAGGCTGGGCGGTCCCTCCAGGTGGCTGGTCCCCCCACGGCCCCACAGGGAGCCTGTCGGGGAGGCTGAGCAGAACAGGACCACCCATGCCCCCCAGGAGGCTCAGGGTAAAGCTGGTGTCAGGCACCCGCGGGACACGGTGGGTGGCGGGCGGTGAGTCAGGAAGAGAGAGCGAGCCTGAGCGGGCGGCAGGCATTTGCCTTACACCCTGTGGTCAAGGATGCGAGTCCAGTTTTCATTTTCAAATCTCCTCACTGAGCAGCATGGAGGAAGCGGCAGGAGGGGCTCCCGGGGGGCTGGAAGGTTTGGGGGGACCGTGGCTTCTGGCTCTGTGGGGGATCCCCGACTGAGGACAGGAGAAAGGGGCATTCCCCCTCCCCACCCCTACCCCCGGCTAAGGACTCCCTGGGGCTTCATGGGTGGAAGACAGAGGCAAGGTCAGAGGATCTGAGGAGAGTCAGAGGGTGGGGGATGGAGGAGAGTCAGAGGGTGGGAGTCTGAGGAGAGTCACGGGGTGGGGGTCTGAGGAAAGTCACAGGGTGGGGGTCTGAGGAGAGTCAGAGGGTGAGGGTCTGAGGAGAGTCAGGGGGTGGGGGTCTGAGGAGAGTCAGAGGGTGGGGGTCTGAGGAGAGTCAGAGGGTGGGGGTCTGAGGAGAGTCAGAGGGTGGGGGTCTGAGGAGAGTCAGAGGGTGGGGGTCTGAGGAGAGTCAGAGGGTGGGGGTCTGAGGAGAGTCAGAGGGTGGGGGTCTGAGGAGAGTCAGAGGGTGGGGGTCTGAGGAGAGTCAGAGGGTGGGAGTTTGAGGAGAGTCACAGGGTAGGCCTGGCAGAGAGAAGTCGGGTGGGCTGAGGTACCAGAGGTCCCTCTAGCCCACCCTCAGGGTCTGGCTATCAGTTGAGGCCCAGCCACCATCCTCCATGCCCAGAACCTGGGCTGTGTTCGAGAGGAGGCTATGGGCCAGGCTTTGCTCAGGACCCCCCCACAGAAGTGGCCCTGCTGGTTCCGATGAGGAGCGCGCCAGAGACAGGCTTCCTGCATCAACTGCCCCCCCCCCCGCTGCTCCTCAGGGCCCCCCATCTCCTCAGGGACTCCTTGTCTCATGCCTGCTGGGGGGGGGGGGGGGCGGTCCTCCTGAGAGCGTGAGCGTCAGGGGCCAGGAAGCCGGGCCTCACTCACAGTGCTCAGGCCTGTGGGCAGCCGGGAGGGAGCGGAGCTGCGTTTGCTCTTTCTCTCAGCTGACCTGTGGGCAGCCCCTCTGCGGGCAGGCGGGGGTGGGGGGGTGCTGAGCCCAGGGTCCTCCTCTCAGAGTGGGGTGCCTGCAAAAACCTGCCCCTCAGGCTGTCCTGGGTGTGAACGGGGGTGTCAAGGGTGGGCAGGGGTGTTGACGGGGGGGGGGGGGGCTCTCGGCAAGCCCAGGGCCTGAGAGGACAGTGGGGGCACCCCTGCGCCCCAGCCCTGGGGGTTTGAGACCGCAGGGCTCCTTTAAACACATCCTGCAAGGGTCCTCAGCACCTGGCCGTCAGCACAGCACACTGGGGGCCGCCTGAGCAGTGGAGGGGTTCCAGGGGGCTGGAAAGCGGACAGAGGCCTCTGTGGGGGCCGGTGGCCAGGGGTGACTTCCTCTGTGCTGGGGACCCACCCACGGCCACGCCCCTAGCAACGACTCCTCTGCAGGGCCCGGGGGAGGGTGGCCCCAGGGCTTGTGCCAGGGAGGGGGGCGGGGTGCAAGCAGCCCATGGCAGTCTCTGGGGAACCGGGGGGGCTACAAAGCTCCCATCAGGCCAACCAGAGGTGGAGCTCACGGTACCCCACCCCCACCCCGCTTCGGGTGCCAGGCCCCAGCTGAGCTGGAGAGAGGCCCCGGGGCCCAGCGGGACTCACAGCGCAGCCACCCACCATCCCTCATGCTCCCCACGCCCTGGTGGTACCCCCAGCAAGGTCGCTCATGGACCCCCACGCCCCGACGGGACTCACAGCCCACGGCCCCCCATGGAACCCCAGCACATTCTGGCAGTACCCCCAGCAAAGCCCCTTGTGGGCCCCCCACGCCCCGACGGGATTCACAGCCCAGGGTCCCTCATGACCCAATGGAACCACAGCCGAGACCCTCAAGGCCCCTCACGCCCCGACGGGACCCACAGCGAGACCCCGAGGCCCCTCACGCCCCGACGGGACCCACAGCCGAGACCCCAAGGCCCCTCACGCCCCGACGGGACCCACAGCCGAGACCCCAAGGCCCCTCACGCCCTGACGGGACCCACAGCCGAGACCCCGAGGCCCCTCACGCCCCGACGGGACCCACAGCCGAGACCCCAAGGCCCCTCACGCCCCGACGGGACCCACAGCCGAGACCCCAAGGCCCCTCACACCCCAATGGGACCCACAGCGAGACCCTCAAGGCCTCTCTTGGCCCGACGGGACCCATAGCCGAGACCCCAAGGCCCCTCACGTCCCAACGGGACCCACAGCCGAGACCCCAAGGCCCCTCTTGGCCCGACGGGACCCATAGCCGAGGCTCCCACAATCCTCATGTTCCCCCACGCCCTGGTGGTACCCACAGCCGAGGCCCCTCTCGAGTTCCCCGTGCTCCCATGGCACTCCTAGCGCAGGACCCCCACCCCCCCGCGCCCCGACGGCTGCCCCCAGCTGGCCCCGGTCACACTCACAGCACGCAGAGCGCGTAGGCCCGGGAGATGGACTCGCTGGCGCGCACCAGGAAGCTGCCATCCTTGCCCGTCCGCGAGAGCAGCTCCTCGGCCTTGGCACGGGTGATGTTGCCGTGGTTCCAGCAGGGCACCATGGTGGGCACCCGGGGGGAGGGGGGGACGCAGGCCCGGGTCGAGCCCACGCTGCTGTCGGCTCTGCGGCGCCTGCCACCCGCTCCGGCCGACTTCCTGTTGCCGCTCGGCGGGGAGGAAGCAGCGGCCGCCCCGGCTTCCTCATTGCGGGGCGCCAGCCCCTCCCTGCAGCTGCTCCTCCCTGCCCTGCCCCGGCTCGGCGCCCCCCACGCCCCCCAGCGTCTAGGAGCCCCCCCTGGAGCTGTTGGGACATAGGACTCAGGGCGGCCGGGGACACGGGCTCACACAGCCAAGGCCCTGCACAGGCCTATGTGGGACCCTCCCCCTGCCCCGACCCCCCACAGAAACAGGGGCTCACAGGGCAATAGCAGGGAGGGGGCACCCTCCCTCCCCGCCCCTAAGCGTGAGACCCCCTCAGCCCTAGTTCCGGGAACTCTGGCCAAGCCCCTCCAAGGCCCAGAGGCCCCGAGCCGTGTCCCCCAACATCCCCCAGGCAGCTCGGTGGTCACTTCTGGGCCAGCCCGCCGTGGGACCTCGGCGACTCTCCATTCCAGACTGTGCTTAGGTGTGGGGGCCCCCTCTGAGGTCGATGTGTGGGGGAGGTCAGCCAGTGGGGCGCAGGGATGAGGGGGGGCCTGGCACATCACGGAGGCACCCCTACCCCCATCCCTGACACCACTGAGGCTTCTGGTTGGAGTCGGCCGTTCCCAGCAGTGCCCCCAATTCTGCAAGAGCTGAGGGAGATCCTGGGTCCCCTCAGGGCCTCGGGGCTCCACATGCTCTCACCAGGGCGGGCTCCCTCACAGACCCCCTTGTCACCCCTCCTCAGGAACAGCGATGCGGGACCCGAGACCCCAAACCCCAAACCTTGGCCTGCTCAAGGGCTCTGGAGGCAGGGTGCTGACACGTGAGGGTGGTGGTCTTGGGGTTCCTCCAGCACAGGGGCGTCTCCCCACTCTGAGGCTCAGGGCTGAGCATGGCCCATGGTGCTCGGGGCCTGCTCTGGGCTCTGGAAGCTGCTCTGGAAACTGAGGCCCAGAAAATTCCAGGCCTGGCACCCGGCCCCTCCCTAAGCTGCTGGGGCTGCCCCTGCCCCTCCCCCCACCAAGCCCAAAGGCTAAGCTCCTCCCTCCGTGAGCGAGGCCTGAGCAAGGCGGGGGGGACAAACGGGTGAGGGCCTCTATGTTCCAGCTGTGGGTGCCTGGAGCCCTCCTTCCTAACTACCCCCGGCTCTGTGCACTCAGTGCTTGGTGCCTTCTCTGTTCTCTGCAACCTCCACCAGCTGCCCTGCTACCCAGGGTCATTCCAGATGCACCTGAAGGCTCCTCTACAACCCTGGGCCCTCAGACCCTTGACCAGTTCACCACCATAAAGAAGGTTCCACACACTACTGTCCTCCCTGCCTCGCACCTGTCATCTCCATCATTGCTATTGGACTCATGGAATTTCCCTCTGAAACCTGACCCACCCCCAACAACCTGACAGGTACCTGACACTCATCTGACACGTCCCTGACACACCTGACAGACACCTGGCACACCCTTGACACACTCCATAGATACCTCACCTGCATCTGATTCACTCTTGACAGATACCTGACACTCATCTGACATACCCCGGGCACCTCAGACATCTGACAGATACCTGACACACCTCTCACACAGATAGACAGATAACTGACACGTCTGACAGATGATTGTCACACCCCTGACACACCTGATAAATACCTGAAATACACCTGACCGATATCTGACACACCTCTGACACACCTGACAGATGATTGTCACACCCCTGACACACCTGAAAAATACCTGAAATACACCTGACATATATCTGACACACCTAACAGATATCTGACACATCTGACATAATTGTTACACACCTGACACACACCTGAAATATACCTGGCATATATCTGGCACACCCTGACACCCTGACACACCTGACAGATCCCTGACACACACCTGACATACCTGACCGATTTCTGACATACCCGACACACACCTGACATAGCCCTGACATACCCAAGAGATATCTGACACACCTGACTGATTCCTGACATACCCGACACATCCCTAACATACCTGATACACTCCTGACATACCTGACCCATGCCTGAAACACCCTTGAAACCACTCCCGATTCCTACCTGCCAGATACCTGAGCCCGCTGACATGGGCCTACATCCTGTTTCCCTAATTTCTAAAGCCCATCTCGTCTTGACTTCCTCTCAGCCCCAGCGTCATGTCCTTCCCTGTCCCCTACTTTGGAACACCCCCTAAGTCCATCAGGCTCACTATGGGCAGGAGCCAGAGCAGACACATCTTACAGGGCCCCTGTGTCGACTGGCAGCCGATAAGCACGCGTTTATTGTTGCTGCCTGCAGTTCGTAGGAACCGTGACTTCCACGAGCAAAGGCTGCAGTGGTGTCCAGGGAAGGGCCGGCTTGGGCGTGTCCACAGTCCTCTCAGCCTGGACGCCTTCAGGATGGGCCAGGAACAAACCTCCCCAGCCAGGCCTGTCTTCTCCCTTCAGAGGAAACCCTGGTGACTGTGAACATCTTCCTGTGTCAGCCAGAGATGGGAAGGAGAGTTTGTTCCTGAGTGTGTCAGACCCCCGTTCTGAGGCTGCAGCTAGAGCACACCTGCCCGCCACCTCCTCAGGAGTGGCTGCCTTTGTGTCCACACTCCCGCACCGTCTCCACACTCCCACTCCCGAGCTCTTCATGGGGCCCCAACCCACCTTCCATGGAGCCCCCCTTCAGAAGTGCATCCCTCACCTCACACCCCACAGACCCCCGAGGGAGCACAGTACGCCCAGACTGAGGAGAGCTAGTGCTGTGAGGGTGGGGTCCTGAGAGCTAGCAGGGCGCTGCTGGCCTCTGAACAGAGCCTCTGCAGATGCCGGAGGGGGTGGCAGGGATGGGCAGACTGAGCCACTGTGCCCTCCTCCCTCAGGGGACGCAGTTGGACGAGGTGACCTGTGCCTACCCCAGCATTCCAGGCCAAGGACTAGCCATAAGCTCTTGATAGCCAGAGCCTGAATTTGATTCCAGTCGTCACCCTCCTCAGAATCTCAACCCCATTCTAGTGCCTGAGCTAGAGCCACACCACAAAAGAAAGACCACGATGGCGGGAAGGTGCCATGTGCCTGCGGCTCTCCTGGCTACACGCTGGCAGTGTCCCAGCACGATCCCACAGACCTGAGATGCCACGCTGCTTGGGGCATCTGGTCAACCTCAAATGGAGGACAGAGGGCTGAAAGAGCTGAGGTGGGCACCTAGGGGCTGAAGACCCCCTGGTCCCGGGCCAGGCTGGGGTGCTGCATTGCTAGTGCTAACCAGCAGGCTGAGAAACTTCTAGAAAGTCACGGAAATGGGCAGTGCCAGGGCTGTCTGGCCAGTATGAGGCCATGGGCACTGGGAGGGCCAACAAAACCTGAGGAAACAAGGAACCTGGCAGGTGCCAGCACAGGTGGGGTCTGCCCCCATGTTGGCCCAGAGGTCAGGCCTGGGGCAGGCTGCACATCTTCATACGATTCACCAGCAGGCGTGAGGGGGCCCTCTGGGGGGCACCATTCAGCCTCCTTCCACCCTGCACTAGAAATGTGGGCTTTAGGGTCTGGGAAGGGTGTGCCCAGCAGGCGGGCTGATGACCCAGCTTCCGGCCAAGGGCTGGGAGAGGCAGAGTGCTAGGCACGTCGAACAGACAATCAATACTTCCAAGTATTGCCTGTCCCTGCCTCCCCGTGTTCACTGAAGCCCAGCCTGCACTCCACCCCCACCAGCCTGGATGCACGACACACCACCGACTCCCCGATAACCCAACTCACACTCTCACACGGGAGGAAATCACTCGGAGACTGCTCACCGCCTGGCATGTCAGACGTTAAGAAAATCTCTCCTAGGAAAAAGGGTGCTGTGTGTGTGTATATCTGTGTGCGTGCATGCGTGTGTGTGCGTGTACGTGTGTGTGCTTGTGTGCGTGTGTGTGTGTGTGTGTGTGTGTGTGTTTGGTGCCAGGCATCTAACCCAGGACTTTGAACATGCAAAGCATGTGCTCTGCCCTGGGCCCTGTGACAGATTTCTTTTTTCTTTTGAAAAAAGGTGTTGAACTTTGTGTTTCCAAAGGAGCCTCATTTTTTTCTAATGTAGGAGGACTGCTATTTATTCAGCCACTGATTAGCTGATTGAATTGTGCATGAACTCCACCTTACTTTTTTTTTCATTTTTTATAATTTTATTTATTGAATCACCGTGAGAGCAGTTACAAAGCTTTCGGGTCTAAGTCTCGGTCATAGAATGAAACACCCATACCTTCACCAGTGCCCATTCTCCACCCCCAACAACCCCAGTGTACCCCCATCCCACACCCTCCCCCTACCTGTGGGGCAGGTGATTTCCACATTACTCTCTCTCTACTTTGATCACATTCAATATTTTGACACCAGACCATTGTTATTTGAGATTTTACCCCAACACTCAGATCTGCTGAAAAGGCAACAGTAGACAATTTGTGTTCTATTGCTGGTTATGAATAACATATGATGTCACGTGGCTGCAGTAGGGCCATGTGATTTCGAAATTCCGAAATTTTAACACTTAAATCTGGAGGGATTTCTGCCAAAAGCCACTGGGTTTCGGGATTTGTTTCTGAGTCTCTGGGATCATGGCCATTAAGCAGTTCAATCAGGAACCAAAGAGGCCATGCCTCCAATTATGTGGCTGAGCCGGAGGTGGATTGTGGCTGTGTTTCCCACATACCTAACTTTTGGCTGTTTACTTTCTTGGTAAACTTTGCCCCAAGTTTTTGGGGTCTGGCCAAAGGCACAGCAGCAATTTTGGGGTATCTGGAAGTCTGAAGGCGCCATCAGGCTGCTGATGCACTCGCCTCACAGGTACAGATTGACCTGCTGGCAGCACCATACGTGTTTCCAAGTTGTGCTCCACAGGTCCGGGGATCCCTCGCGGGATTCTCAGCCGATTGGGCTGGGGTCAGATGCG